CAGCAGCAGGGGTCTCCCAGTCCCATCTGGTGTGAGAGCTCACTCCACCAGGGGTGTAGCAGCATCCTGGGCACTATTAAAGGGGTACCTGTGAGTGACATCTGTGCTGCGGCCAGCTGGTCTTCACCGCACACATTTGTTCAATTTTATCAGATGTGACAGCCCCTTCGGTGGCTCAACTCTGTGCTCTCCGCTGGGTCTGATGTGCTGCACTAGCATGTTATTATGACCCAAGTTTGGTACTGCTCTGCGGGGCGTTTATATATGTCCCATACATGATGTTGTACCGAGTGAATTGACTGAAAGGGAACGTAATGTTATGCATATAACTACTGTTCCCTGAAGGAAAGGAACGAGTTGCAACACATGGTGGCCCCGCTGCACAGCTGGGCTCGGTGAAGAGCAGTTACCGAACTAAGGAGTGACTGTGATGGCGACAGTATATACGTATATGTGCAGGCGGAGCCTGACATCTGTCGTCATCACGTCACCTGCCTAAAGGCTTGATTAGAGGTGGCTTCAGCCAGGACACGCAGGGGCATGGTTTCCCATACATGATGTGTTGTACCTCGTTCCTTTCCTTCAGGGAACAGTAGTTATATGCATAACATTACGTTACAACTAATAAAGGATCCCTTTAACATGTGCTTTTAAAACTTTGAAAGCTCTACTCATATCTGTGATCTCCTGAACACCTACATTATGAGCACTTTGATCTCCCAACCAGTTTCTCTTCAATGTCAGAAGATTTAAACTGAACTACAGAGGTGATCGGGCTTTTGCAGTGTCTGCTCTACCACTGCAAAACACTTTGCCTCATCATTTATGAACCGCTGTGGCCGTCTTTTAAATCTTTGCACAAGATTCTTCTTTTTTCTTTGGTGTTTGATTCAGACAGAGTTTGAGGTAACTTTATGAGGGTTTTTTTTTTGTTTTGGATTTTATTTTAGCTTTACTTGTTTTACATTTTCATTACTTCTGTTGTTTTTATGTTCTTTAAAAATAAGCAATAGACACTGACAAATGTCTGGGAACTATTTCTGGATATAATATAGATAAAAGATATTCATTAGATGTTATGTAGATCTCAAAATAGCAACAACACACTTTTTGTTGTAGTTTCAGTCTGTAGGCAACATGACTTACAGGTTGTTACGCTATGATGGTCTTGTTTACTTTCTCAGTCTGGGCAGTTAATGGGATCTRTCTGTGGCGTGTGTGTTCACACATTTGCATGTCTGTTTTACCTGAAACATTTGAATGATTCTCAGAAAGAGGACACATCTACAATTAATTGGTGTCAAGACACATCTAACTCACCTTAGCCAAGACAAAAAATAGCTTTAACTTGGTCATTGTTCCAGGRTTTGGGCCAAAAATTTGAAATATTTTCATTGACATTACTCTGCAGGTTGATAAAAATTTGGGATTTAGAAAGGATAAACTTCCATCAGGACCTTCCAGGAGCCTCTATAAGGAATTCAAACTCAGCCYAAACCCAAACAAGATTAAAATTAAGAACAGTGCAAGAAAGAAAACATCAGTCTTTACAAGGAAAAAACATTAAAGACTGACACACTTCTCTCCTGGTGTTCATTTTGTCTGTTCTGTGTTCTTTGAGTGTCGCTCCTTTGATCCAGTGTCTCAGCAGAAGACCTGCTTGGTTCTCTGTTTGACTGAAACTGTTGTTTTTATGGTGGAGTTGACTGCAGGTGGGACGAGATCAGGGAAGAGGGCAGTGTGGCTTATTCAGGATGTTTTAGTTCAGCTTGCTTTTGTTTTGCCATTACATTTTCATTTATTCCTCTGGCACACAGCAAAACTCCTCACTCACACATAAAAAAAACCACACGTTCCAGGTAAAGATGATAGGARGTGGAAACAGTTCCCTTTTTTTTTACTTTTCATGTTCATAAAGCAAGGATTTGTGACAATATGAGCAGATTTAAACTAAGTTTTAGCAGAAATCTGTTGTGAAACATAATTATTCTGCTTGCTTCTCTCTCCAGTCGTGCAGGAGTATTAAAGTTACATGACAGCCACTTTTTGAATCACATCAACCATGAATTTCAGTCCAYGGATGAGAAACGAAGCGACAGCAGCTGTGCTGCAACAATACGGCTGATGATGATGCAGCTCAGCAGAACAAAGCAGCACAGACACCAGGCATCCTGTTTTAAAGCTGGTCAAAGAAGCTTTCTGCTTTTATTAGTAAATAAATATGGACTTCTGTTTTTCTTTTGACTGTAGCAGTTTATTCTGAGCTTAGAAGTTTGAGTCCTACAGTGTGAAAAATGTACATATTTGAACTATAATGTGTATTTTTGATATATTTGGAAATGACAGTGCAATGTTTTGCTGAAAAAGCCAGACTTTGCTGTTTGCCACCGACCACAAGACTTTATTCAGAGTCGGTGTTACAAAGTGTGAGATATAACTACGGTGGATAAAGTCTGCAGGCACTGATCCCCTCTCTTTGTCCAGGTGGGATGTTCCTCGCCACAGGAAGCACTGATCACATCATCAGGGTCTACTACTTTGGGTCAGGTCAACCAGAGAAGATCTCTGAGTTGGAGTCCCACACAGTGAGTCAGCATTTATCAGAGCTATTAATCTGTGTTTAGTCACAGGCAGTTAAAAACACACATATACACACTACCAGTCAAAYGTTTGGACACATTTAAAATATATTTTACCTACTTGTCTTCTGAAGATGCTGTATTGAAGGCTCAGTTCATCTGCTTTTAACTACTCCATCTAGACTGCATTGTCACGGGCAACGTTTAATTTAAAAACTGTAAAACAAATGCTTATAATTAATTTCAATAGATTAAAAGTTAAGAAGTGCATGGACCGTTCTTTTTTGTATCATAAAATATCAAATCATGAGACTAAAGTATCGAACCGAATCGTGAATTTTCTATCGTTGCACATCTAACATATACACTGTATATAAACTGATCATATGTACAGATAGTACAGATTTACAGCGCAGTGAATATCTTACCCGTTGTAGATAGCTTCTAAGTATGGGTAAACAGAGTTAAATTCTGACCAATTTGATGAGCTAACAGCTAGTCAGAGTGGTACCAAGATGTTTTAAGATGTACAGTAAACCCTGCAAAGTCATGGTTCAGAGTTTGCAGCCTCRGGCATTCACAGATTGTTTTGTAAAACTTGTCTAAAAAGTGGTAACAGAAACCTTCTCAATTTTGTGGAAACCACAGACATCCACAATTTTTTCACTTTTTTTTTTGGTTTTCACATGACAGTATATAAATTTTAAAMCTGCTTTGCCACACAGCCGTTATCTTTATTGTGTACCTTTGAAAGTACTGCACAGAATATTTATTTGTAACATTTGCACAGTAGGCAACAAAATGAATGAGCTTAAGCTAACTGCTGGAGAAAAACTGAAACTGAGACTCCAGGCTTCCAGCTCCTCATYGCGTCAGTCCAGCAAAGTAAAAATGTGGAGGAAACGAGGGCTGCACGAAATCAGGAAAACCTGCGATAACAGTGCTTATAATTGCAAAGATGATAATACTTGTAATAAATGAACAAATACCTAAATATGCAGTGTTGATGTCCTGACGCATCTCAGTAATCCAGGTAAAAAATCAAAAAGAAAAAAAATTGTATAGGTCTTCTGGACGGGTTCTTCTCTCCTAGGTTGACACCTAATTAACACTTATTGTTCCACCCCTGTTAACAATAATTGTTAATTAGGTGTCAACCTAGGAGAGAAGAACCCGTCCAGAAGACCTATACAATTTTTTTCCTTTTTGCAGTGTTGATGTGTTGGTCTCTGAGCAAAATAAACAACTAATACATGATGTCCATTACAACATGCAACTAGACACAGCTGCTGTGAAACCACAAACTGCATGCAATCACTTTTAAACATTGCCCCCATTAAACATTTTTTTGATTCTCTCAATAC